TTCAAAATATGTCTCATGGTATTTTATAAGCTTCAAAAGTAATATTAGTCTTTTCATCTGCATTTCAGGAAAATGTTTATTAAACAGAATATATTTACAGAATAAGTCTGAAATTGACTCTAAAATTTTAGAAAGATTATTAGAAGAACTACAAAAGAAAAAAATGGAGGAAGAAGCAGCAAGGTAAATTCTGCCTAGAATGATAAAACCAGATTGATGTATGTGTTTAGTAGTTAAATATCTTTTTGCAATTTACACTTATAGAATATATTTAATATTGAAATGATTTCATTTTATTATACTTTAAGTTCTGGGGTACATGTGCAGAATGTGCAGATTTGTTAACATAGGTATACACATAACATGGTGGTTTGCTGCATCCATCACCCTGTCATCTACATTAGGTATTTCTCTTAATGCTATCCCTCGCCTACACCCCCAGCCCCTGCTATGCCTCTCCTAGATCACCACTCCCAAGGCCCCAGTGTGTGATGTTCCCCTCCCTGTGTCCATGTGTTCTCATTGTTCAACAGCCACTTGTGAGTGAGAACATGCAGCGTCTGGTTTTCTCTTCTTGTGTCAGTTTGCTGAGAATGATGGTTTCCAGCTTCATTCATGTCCCTGCAAAGGACACCAACTCATCCTTTTTTATGGCTGTGTAATATTCCGTGGTGTATATGTGCCACATTTTCTTTTTCCAGTCTATCACTGTTGGGCATTTGGTTTGGTTCCAAGTCTTTGCTATTGTGAACAGTGCCACAATAAGCATACGTGTGCATGTGTCTTTATAACTGAATGATTTATAATCCTTTGAGTATATACCCAGTAATGGGATTGCTGGGTCAAATGGTATTTCTAGTTCTAGATCCTTAAATAATTGCCACACTGTCTTCCACAATGGTTGAACTAATTTACACTCTCACCAACAGTGTAAAAGCATTCCAATTTTGTGCTGGAAACCTGGGGCACTGCAGTTGTAGGCACCAAAGGGAATCCCCTGGTCTGCAGGTTATGAAGACCATGGGAAAAGCACAGTATCTGAGCCAAAGTGCTAAAGTGTCTGGAAAAGTCCCTAATGGCTTCCCTTGGCTAGGAGAGGGAGTTCTCTGGTCCCTTATGCTTCCTGGGTGAGGCAATGCCCCACCTTGTTTCAGCTTGCCCTCCTTGGGCTGCACCTACTGTCTAACCAGTCCCAATTGATGAAACTGGTACCTCAGTTGCAAATGCAGAGATTACTCACCTTCTGGAGCACTCTCACTGGGAACTGCAAACTGGAGCTGTTTCTATTTGGCCATCTTGGTGGAAGTCAAAATGGTAATTTATTAACTTGATCTGATTCTAGGTAATTTTAAGAAAAGCAGCAATTTAACAAATACTTACAGAATCTCTAAAGCACACAGTTGTGGATGTTTTCACAGCCCATATCAAACTTATTCTAAATCAGCCATCTGCTCCCAATAAACACTGTAAAAAAAAAAAATGACCATGGGTAAAATAATTTTGTTAACTAGCATTTACAAACTGAAGAATAGCAAATTAAAATACATAATACTTGTGTGACATGACTAAAATCCAAAACCTGACTAAGTTCTACACATGGAAAGAACAAGGCTAATTATCTATGTTTGACTGGTTTAACGTTGAGGGCTTCTTCTCTAATGTGGGTATAATGAATGACTTTTTAAAATGTGACCACACAGTTATCTGTTCATGGGTCAATACTAAATTTTAATAAATTATAAAGTCCTTCAGATTGAAGAATAAAATATTAAAAGAAACAATGATTTAGCTTGCTAATTGTTCTTCCTTGCTAAAAAATTCTCTTTAAATACCTTACATTTTAATTTGTCCACTGGGATTTCTACTATTCAAAGTAGTAAAGGCCTAGACATTTAAGAACGAAATTTTCTGTGTAAATTCATGGACCCTCCTGCTATTGATGATGGCACCTCTGAGTTTCTTAAATGCTATTTTTCCCCTTTTCAAATATTAACTATTTGAGCTGAGACTTAGGAGAGCTCTTTAAACCCTAGAAATAAGCTGAAAGGTGAGTAATTACAGAGGTAGAGGGAGGTTTAACTGATATGTGTGTCAGAGGATCTTATTTTTTAGTGTACCTTATTCATTTAAGTTAGTCACTTCTTTAGAAATTTAACACAAAAATGTGTGAGTATGATTTAGTTAAATTAGTTAATAAGATTATTATGTGATATATTGACCAAATAGTACTTTAGTTCAGACAATAACTACAAAGTTACTTAAATTCCCTTTTAGCTCCTAAAACTTTTGTTACAAATCTACTAATTAGCTGCAATCAGCTACACTCAAACTGCAGCTCAGCTATAATCTGTTGATATTTAAGGAATTACTTCATCTTTTTCTAGTCTGTGAGAAATAGTCCAATCTTTGAGATCAGATAGACATCTGTTCAACATAAGAGTAAAATGAAATTCATGTAATTTCTGGACTGAAGATCTGCTACATTTTAAATATATAAAAATATGTGCACCTTTAATTTTTTTTAAAAAGTAAAAGATATCTTCTCCACTTTCTCTCAATTCTCACCTCTTTTACATATGGAATTCTCTAAGTTACTTTTATAATCAATCTTTACTTCTTTTGATTCTAAATTTTTACATCTTTATAAACTTAGTATCACTTGCCCAGATTGAAGCAGGCTTTTCTATGTTTTTATATGTTAATTTTTAAAATTCAACATGAGTATTTCAAAACAAACTTTCTTCCTTTATACTTCAGAAAATAAAGTCTAATTTAAAAAAAAAAAAAACTGGTCAGACACTTACTTAAAGACCTTATAGGTTGGTGAAAAAACAGAGGAACTTTACAGGATTAAGAACTACATCTTGGATCAAATATCTAAAGACGTGATAAATTTTAAAACTTTTCCAGCATCAGTTTCCAAATGTGCCCATCAAAGGGCAAGATAACTTCTGTCATATGGTTTGTCTTTGTATCTTCTGTCCAAGTGGTTAACAGAAATGTCTAAGAACTGGCAGCAGAATTCTTCCTTGTGTTCAGGTCTTAGATTCTCAGCACCAACATACTTGATCGAGGATTTGGATAAGGAAGATGTCACAAAGAGCCCCATCTGAGGTACAGACATAACTTGGAGAAATTGCAGGTTTGGTTTGAGTCCACTAAAGTAAAGCAAGTCACATGAGTTTTTTGGTTTCCCAGTGCATATAAAAGTTATGTTTATACAATACTGTCACCTATTAAATGTGCAATAGCATTATACCTAAAAATTTATATACCTTAATTTTAAAATGCTTTAAAAGAACACAGTAATAATCACCTGAGCCTTCAGGGAATCAATCATTTTGCTGGTGGAAGACTTTGCCTCAGTGTTGATGGCTGCTGACTGATGAGGATAGTGGTTGAAAAGGGTTGGGTGACTACAGAAATTTCTTAAAGTAAGACAGTGATGAAGTGTATTGCACTATTTATTACTCCTCCTTTTGCAAAATATGTTTCTATAGTATGCAATGTTGTTTGGTAGCATTTTACCCACACTAGAACTTCTTTCAAAATTGGAGTCAATCCTTTCAAACCCACCACTACTTTATCAACCAAGCTTATGTAGTATTCTAAATCCTTTGCTGTAATTTCAACAATGTTCACAGTGTCTTCTGTCTTAATAAACCACATTCTTTTCTCATCCATGAGAAGAACTCTTCATCTGTTCAAGTTTGATCATGAGACTGCAGCAATTTAGGATCCACTTCTAATTCTAATTCTCTTGCTATTTTCACTACATCTGCAGTTACTTCCTTCATTAAAATCCTGAACTTACTAAAGTAATCCATGAGGGTTGGAATCACCTTCTTCCAAATTCCTGTTAATGTGGATATTTTGACCTCCTCCCATAAATCATGAATGGTCTCAATGGCATCTATAATGGTGAATCCTTTCCAGAAGGTTTTCCATTTACTTTGCCTGTATTCATTAAAGGAGTTGCTATCTACGATAGCTGCAGTATTATGAAATGTGTTTCTTAATAATAAGACTTAAAAGTCAAAATCACTCTTTGATCCATGGGCTGCCGTATGGATGTTGCATTAGCAGGCATGAAATAACATTCATTCTCCTTGTATGTTTACATCAGAGCTCTTGGCTGACTACATGCATTGTCAATGAGCAGTCATATTTTGAAATTAATCCTTTTTTCTAAGCAGTAGATGTACTGTCATCTAGGCTCTGTTGTTCTATTTGTAGAGCACAGGCAGAGTAGATTTAGCATAGTTATTAGGGGAGCTAGGATTTTTGGAATGGGGAATGAACATCGGCTTCACCAGCTGCATAAGCCCTTAACAAGAGTGTCAGCCTGTCCTTTAAAGCTTTGAAGCAAGGCATTGACTACTCCTCTCTAGCTCTGAAAGTCCTAGATGGCATCTTCTTCTAATAGAAGTGTGTTTGGTTGACATTAAAAAAAATATGTTGTTTAGTGTAGCCACCTTTATCAGTGGTTTTAGCTAGGTCTTCTAAATAACTTACTGCAGCTCTGACATCAGCACTTGCCTGCTTCACCTTGCACCACACTTTGGTGTTATAGAGATGGCTTCCTTTTTGAAGCCTCATGAACCAACTTTTGCTAGCTTCAAACTTTTCTTCTCCAGGTTCCCTGTTTCTCTCAGCTATCACAGAATTGAAGTGAATTAGGGCCTTGCTCCTGATAGGCTTTGGCTTAATGGAATGTTGTAGCTGGTTTGATCTTCTGGTCAGACCACTCAAAAACTTTCTTCATATGAACAGTAAGGTTGTTTCACTTTTGTATCATTAGTGTATTCACTCGAGTAGCACTTTTAATTTTCTCGAAGAACATTTCTTTGGCATTCACAACTTGGCTATTTTGCACAAGAGGCATAGCTTTTGGACTATCTCAGCCTTCAATATACCTTCCTCACTAAGCTTAGCCATTTCTAGCTTCTGATTTAAAGTGACAAATCTGGGACTTTTTTCACTTAAAAACATAGAGGCCATTTTTTTTTTTTCAAACAGTCTGATTTAATTAAGAAGTTGAGGTAGAGTGGAGTGGGATCATCAGAAGGCTGACATGGGACCCCTGGAGTTGGCAATCACAGCAGTGTCAGGTTGGCAAGGGGAGCAACCCCATTCTAGGCAAGGCACAAACTATTTGGCAAGGAGAGATGAGGGTGGGACCCCATTGTCAATGGACATGCTCAGGGAGGCCAGTGGATTACATGCAACAGGGAGATCATTCAGGCAACTTCAGCTATGAGGCTGGGCATCTGTGAGGGCTGAAGGCTCAGGCTGTTCGCAAAGGCTTGTGATTCACCTGGGAGATGCTGACGCCTGTGAGTCTTTCCACGCTCTCTGGCAGGTGGCTTAGAATGTCCAGTACTTCCCCAGTCACTTTGGCTGCCCCCATGGTCCCACTGCCACTGGACACCAGTGTGATCTTATTGGCCGAAGTCAAGGGACCACTGATCTCCTCTGCCACCTGGGGCAGCTTCTCTAGCAGCATGTCCAGTTGAGCAGCCTCTTGGTACAGCTGGAATGCTTCTGCCTTCTTGGCCATCTGCTCAGCCTCAGCTCGGGCTCGGGCCCCTATGGTAAAGGCCTCAGCTTCCCCACGCATCTGAACAGATTCGGCTTCTGCCTCCGCCTGCATAATTAGCTGGGACTTCTCTGCCTCATCTAGGCGCTCCAGCTTGTAGCGCTTGGCTTCAGCTGGCTTCCGCACCCGGGCCTCCAGCTCCTTCTCCCGCCGGGCAATCTCCTGCTCCTGCACTGCCACCTGCTGGGCCCGCTCCACCACCTGCACCTGCACCCGCTGCTCCTCAATCTGCTGCTTAGTCTTGGCCACCTGAAACTGATAGGCCAGGTCAGCCTGTGCTGGGCGGGTGTTGACCTCGATGTCATAGGCGGCCTTCTTCAGCTCATAATCTCTCTGTGCCTTGGCCATCGCGATCTCACTCAGGTACTGAGCAGACACCTTTTCCTGCTTGGCTTTAGCTTCCCGGATCCCAGCATGGGATTATTAATTAACCTCATTTAAATATTATTGTGTCTTAGAGAATATGGAGGCCTAGGTGAGGAAGGGAGTCAAGAGATCAGCCAGTCAGTGGAGCAGTCACAACACCCACAACATCTATCAATTAAGTTCACTGTCTTATATGGACACGGTTCATGGTACCCCAAACAATGATGATGGTAACATCAAAGATCACTGATCATAGATCACTAATGTATAATAATAATGAGGAAGTCTGAGATAGAGTTGCTCAATGCAGGGGTGCCACAAACTCTCCACTTGTATTTAAAACAAAACAAAACAAAACAAAACAAAACAAAACAAAACAAAACAAAACATGGTATCTGTAAAGCCCAATGAAGCAAAGCACAATAAGGCAAAGTATGCCTGTAGATAAACTGCCTGTTCACACAGACAAAACAGAGAAGTAGTTCAGAAACAATACTTAGTACCCTTAGGGGGCTGAGTCATGAACAAAAAGAACTTGAATTATGCCAAGACTTCTGGCTGGAATGCAGGATTTGAAATACAGTGAGAGAACGCCCTCCATTAAGAAGAAACAGACCTACTAGGAGAAGATGTATAGTAATGTCTTCTGAAAACAATATGTACAACTAGCTTTGAAAAGAAGGGAAAATGGATGCAAAGAATGCTGAGTATGAGAGAATACCAGGTCTGAGGAAAGCTGTGCCCACATTGTGTGCTGCTGACACAAATGGGTTCGTCCTTAACTACTCCCTTACTGGTGAATACCTGATATAATATTTTTATAATTCTTTTTTACATTTAATATACATACATATATATATATATAATTGCACTTCAGGTTCTGGGATACATGTGAAGAACATGCAGGATTGTTGCATAGGTACATACATGACAATGTGGTTTGCTGCCTCCATCCCCATCACCTATATCTGGCATTTCTCCCATGTTATTCCTCCACAACTCCCTACCCCCTGCTGTCCCTTGCCTAGTCCCCCCCAGCAGACCCCAGTGTGTGATGCTCCCCTCCCTGTGTCCATGTGTTCTCATCGTTCAACACCAGCCTATGAGTGACAACATGCAGTGTTTGATTTTCTGTTCTTCTGTCAGTTTGCTGAGAATGATGGTTTCCACATTCATCCATGTCCCTGTGAAGGGCACAAACTCATCGTTTTTTATGGCTACATAGTATTCCATGGTGTATATGTGCCACATTTTCCTTGTCCAGTCTATCTTCGATGGGCATTTGGATTGGTTCCAAGTCTTTGCTTTTGTAAACAGTGCCTTGATGAACATATGTGTGCATGTGTCTTTATAACTGAATGATTTAAATCCTTTGGATATATACCCAGTAATGGGATTGCTGGGTCAAATGGAATTTCTATTTCTAGGTCCTTGAGGAATTGCCACACTTCCACGATGGTTAAACTAATTAACACTCCCACCAACAATGTAAAAGTCTTCCTATTTCTCCACATCCTCTCCAGCATCTGTTGTCTCCAGATGTTTTAATGATCACCATTCTAACTGGCGTGAGATGGTAACTCAATGCAGTTTTGATTTGCATTTATCTAATGACCAGTGATGATGAGCATTTTTTCATATGCTTGCTGACCTCATATATCGCTTCTTTTGAAAAGTGTCTGTTCATATCCTTTGCCAACTTTTGAATGGGTTTGTTTGTTGGTTTACTTGTAAATCTGTTTTAGTTCTTTGTAGATTCTGGATATTAGCCCTTTGTCAGATGGGTTGATTGCAAAAATTTTTTCCCATTCTATTGGTTGCCAGTTCACTCTAATGATTGTTTCTTTTGCTGTGCAGAAGCTCTAGAGTTTAATTAAACCCCATTTGTCTATTTTGGCTTTTGTTACCAATGCTTTTGGTGTTTTAGTCATGACGTCCTTGCCTATGTCTATGTCCTGAATGGTTTTGCCTAGGTTTTCTTCTAGGGTTTTTATGGTACTAGGTCTTATGTTTAAGTCTTTAATCCATCTGGAGTTAATTTTAGTGTAAGGTGTCATGAAGGACTCCAGTTTCTGCTTTCTGTACATTGCTATCCAGTTTTCCCAACACCATTTATTAAACAGAGGATCCTTTTTCCATTGCTTGTTTTGTCAGGTTTGTCAAAGATCAGATGGTTGTGGATGTGTGGTGCTGCCTCTGAGGCCTCTGTTCTGTTCTATTGGTCTATATCTCTGTTTTGGTACAAGTACCATGCTGCTTTGATTACCCTAGCCTTGTAGTATAGTTTGAAGTCAGGTAGCGTGATGCCTCCAGCTTTGTTCTTTTTGCTTAGGATTGACTTGGCTATGCAGGCTCTCTTTTGGTCCATATGAAGTTTAAGGTGGTTTTTTCCTGTTCTGTGAAGAGGGTCATAGGCATCTTGATGGGGATTGTGTTGCATCTATAAATTACTTTGGGCAGTATGGCCATTTTCACAATATTGATTCTTCCTAATCATGAGCATGGAATGTTTTTCCATCTGTTTATGTCTTCTCTTATTTCCTTGATCAGTGGTTTGTAGTTCTCCTTGAAGAGGTCCTTTACATCCTTTGTTAGTTGTATTCATAGGTATTTTATTCTCTTTGTAGTAATTGTGAATGGGAGTTTGCTCATGATTTGGCTCTCTGTTAGTCTGTTATTGGTGTATAGAAATGCTTGTGATTTCTGCACATTGATTTTGTATCCTGAGACTATGCTGAAGTTGCTTATCAGTTTCAAGAGATTTTGGGCTGAGATGATGGGGTCTTCTAAATACACAATCATGTCATCTGCAAATAGAGACAATTTGCCTTCCTCCTTTCCTAATTGAATACTCTTTATTTATTTTTCTTGCCTGATTGCTCTGGCTAGAATTTCCAATACTATATTGAATAGGAGTGATTAGAGAGGGCATCCTTGTCTAGTGCCAGATTTCAAAGGGAATGCTTCCAATTTTTGCCCATTCAGTATGATATTGGCTATTGGTTTGTCATAAATAGCTTTTATTAATTTGAGATACGTTCCATCAATACCTGGTTTATTGAGGGTTTTTAGCATAAAGAGCTGTTGAATTTTGTCAAAGGCCTTCTCTACATCAATTGAAATAATCATGTGGTTTTTGTCTTTGGTTCAGTTTATGTGGTAAATTACGTTTATAGACTTGCATATGTTGAACCAGCCTTACATCCCCGGGATGAAGCCTACTCGATCATGATGGATAAGTTTTTTGATGTGCTGTTGCAATTGTTTTGCCAGTATTTTATTGAAGATTTTTGCATCTATGTTTATCATGGATATTGGCCTGAAGTTTTCTTTTCTTGTTGAGTCTCTGCCAGGTTTTGGTAAAATGATGATGTTTGTCTCATAAAATGATTTGGGAAGGACTTCCTCTTTTTGGATTGTTTGGAATAATTTCAGAAGGAATGGTACCAGCTCCTCTTTGTATGACTGGTAGAATTAGGCTGTGAACCCATCTGGACCTGGACTTTTTTTGGGTGGTAGGCTATTAATTGCTGCCTCAACTTCAGCCCTTGTTATTGGTCTATTCAGGGTTTTTACTTCTTCCTAGTTTAGGCTTGGGAGGATACAAATGTCCAGGAATTTATCCATTTCTTCCAGGTTTACTGATTTATGTGCACAGAGTTGTTTGTAGAAATCTCTGGTGGTAGTTTGTATTTCTGTGGAATCTGTGGTAACATCCCCTTTATCATTTTTTTATTGCATCTATTTGATTCTTCTCTTTTCTTTTTTATTAATCTGTCTAGTGGTCTATTTTGTTGATCTTTTCAAAAAACCAGGTCTTGGATTTAATAATTTTTGAAGGGTTTTCATGTCTCTATCTCCTTCGGTTCTGCTCTGATCTTAGTTATTTCTTGTCTTCTGCTAGCTTTTGAGTTTTTTTGATCTTGCTCCTCTAACTCTTTCAATTTTAATGATAGGATGTCGATTTCAGATCTTTCCTTGCTTCTCATGTGGGCATTTATTGCTGTAAATTTTCCTCTAGGCACTACTTTATATGTGTCCCAGAGATTCTGGTACGTTGTGTCTTCATTCTTGTTGGTTTTGAAGAAGATCTTTATTTCTGCCTTCATTTCGTTTTTTATCCAGTCAACATTCAGGAGCCAGTTGTTCAGTTTCCATGAAGCTGTGCTAGTTTCTGAGTTAGTTTCTTAACCCTGAGTTCTAATTTGATTGCACTGTGGTCTGAGAGACTCTTATGATTTCCCTTCTTTTGCATTTGCTGAAGAGTGATTTACTTCCAATTATGTGGTCAATTTTAGAATAGGTGTGACGTAGTGCTGAGAAGAATGTACATTCTGGGGATTTGGGGTGGAGAGTTGTGTAGATGTCTATTAGGTTTGCTTGGTCCAGGTCTGAGTTCAAGTCCTGGATATCCTTGTTGATTTTCTGTCTCGTTGATCTGTCTAATACTGACAGTGGAGTGTTAATGTCTCCCACTATTATTGTATGGGAATCTAAGTCTCTTTGTAGGTCATTAAGAACTTCGTTTATGTATCTGGGTGCTCCTATATTGGGTGCAGATATATTTAGCATCAATAGCTCTCCTTGTTGCATTGATGCTTTTACCGTTATGTAATGCCCTTCTTTGTCTCTTTTGATCTTTGTTGGTTTAAAGTCTATTTTATCAGAGACTAGGATTGCAACTCCTGCTTTTTTTTTGCTCTCCATTTTCTTGGTAAATCTTCCTCCATCTCTTTATTTTGAGCCTATGTGTATCCTTGCACATGAGATGGGTTTCCTGGATACAGCACACTTATGGGTTTTGAATTTTTATCCAATTTGCCAGTCTGTCTTTTGATTGGGGCATTTAGCCCATCTACATTTAAGGTTAATATTGTTATGTGTGACTTTGATCCTACCATTTTGATGCTAGCTGGTTGTTTAGCCTGTTAGTTGACACAGTTTCTTCATTACGTCAATGCTGTTCGCCATTTGGTACATTTTTGGAGTGGTTGGTACTGGTTGTTTCTTTCTATCTTTAGTGCTTCTTTCAGGAGCTCTTGTA